CTGACCAACAGCAGACTCAGCAACAATCAGTGGATAACCAGAGGTGGGTGATATGTCTGACCTTTAGTAAGTGTGTTTACCCCCTACTCATCCACCCCACTCCCTCATTGATCTGTAGCATTGATGATTGGAACATAGCAGGCTGCATGTAGGACACACAACATCATGATGAAACAGCTGTTACACAAACAAACAAACAAACAAACAAACTTTTTATATTCCCGTGGGGATCGTGGATTGACTTTCTGGAAATTGGTTCACACACACACGCACACGCGCGCGCGCACACACACACACACACACAGACCTTGCTTGAACTCCTCCAGCATGGCGTCCAGCTTGGTGTCGTGGAACACGAAGTGCACCGGGTGGTTGTAGAACTTGGTGATGGTCTTCAGGTGCGTGCAGTCGTCCGGGTCCACGAAGGCCAGGTCCTTGACGTACAGGATGTCCACGATGTTGGACCTCTCGTAGTCGTACACGGGGATGCGCGTGTAGCCGCTCTCCATGATCTCAGACATGGTGTTGAAGTCAAGCACCGCGTCCGCCTGGATCATGAAGCAGTTGTCCAGGGGGGTCATGACGTCCTCCACGGTCTTGGTCCTGAGCTCCAGAGCGCCCTGGATCATGTTGAGCTCCTCCTTGTCCAGGTCGTTGTAGGGCTCCGTCACCTTCAGCATCTCCACCAGCTTCTCCCGGTTGTAGACGGTGCCGATCTCCTGTCCCAGCAGGAAGTCCAGCAGCTTGCTGACGGGGAAGGACAGCGGCAGGGTGAGGAGCATGAAGAACTTGGTGAGCAGGATGGTGTTGGCCCCCACGGCCAGCCCGTGGCGGGAGCACAGCGCCTGGGGCACGATCTCCCCGAAGATGACGATGCCGATGGTGGAGGCCACCACCGCCCCCAGGCCGGAGCCGATCAGGTCGTCCAGGAGGATGGTGAGGGTGGTGTTGACCAGCACGTTCCCCAGCAGCAGGGAGCACAGCAGGTAGTTCCCCTTGCGGCGGATCGGCTCGATTTTCCGGGCGTACTTCTTCTCCTTGTCGGTGCCGCAGCTCTGGACGATGCGCAGCTCCATGGGGTCCAGCGCCATGAGGCCCAGGTTCAAGCCGCTGAACATGCCGGACAGCACGAGCAGGCACGAGATGAGGATGGCCTGCAGCCACATGGGCAGCAGGGACTTCTTCTCCTCCAGCACCAGCACCCTGCCGTCGCTGTCCCCCAGCAGCAGCCAGCGGGCTCCGTCCTCGCTCGGCGTGCACAGCGCGTATTCCTTCCAGGGCTCGCTCTTGCGCAGCGGCTTCACGTGCACGCTGAGCAGCCCGGACGTGCCGCGGCTGCTCACGTTCATGAAGTGACCGACGCTGATGTCCTTCGTGAAGTCAACACAGGTCCTGCCCCGCGCGCTGCTCAGCCTGGCCGCCGCCGCCTCCCGCCGCGGCTCCCCATCCGCCTCCCCATCCTCCTCGTCCTCCTCCTCCTGGTCCCCGCCGCCTCCATCCGCGAGCTCCGTGAAGCGGATCTGCGTCCAGGCGCCAGAGTGCAGCTGCACCCCGTAGAACCGGAGCTGCACGGTGCTCTCCTCGGTCACCTGGATGACGCCGTCGTCATTGGTGCCGGACGGCTTGTCGCTCCTCTCCAGCCGCATGCCGAGGACCTGGCTGCCGCTGGAGCTCGCCGCGGCCGCCGTCTGTGTCCGGCCGCTGACCGCGCTCCACAGACAGATAACGACCGTGAGAACGTAGCCCTGCTGCCCGCTCCATTCTGTCGCCATGTTTGTTTCTGTGCTCCGGAGACCTGGGAGATGACGTCATTTACTCATGTCCGAGCGGCTCCGCCCCCCACTCCGAAAACACCGCCCATCTGACCGTGACAGGTAGCCTGCCCCACCCCCACGCGGCACTGCGGCACGCGACAGGACGGAAGCAGCTGTTTTCGCTGCGGAGACAGTGAGGTTCCTTTGATTCTGCCGCCAGTTTCTGTTATGTCCTCCTCCTACTCCCGCATCCCGCTGGCACTGTTCCCGCTTCAGGAGGATGTCCCACCACCTGACTCCCACCGAACCTCCACAGCGGGAGTTCGGTTCGTTGTCCTCACAGTCTGTTTATGAAGGAATTAAAATGTATTTATTATAAGAGAAAATATATAATTTCTCTTTTTTTGGACCACAATGGAAATGTGTTCTCACTTGTGCCATCCAATTAGGGCCAACAAATAATGGATGTACTCCTTCATGTTTGTACGTACATGCAATACTATTGCTAAATAAAATCAATCAATCAATCAATCAATCAATCAATCAATCAATCAATCAATTCTCCTGATTGTCATCATCATCTCCCTTCGTGAGGTAACGTTTCTGTTT